ACAGGGGCAGCGGGGCGCGTCCTTGGGCCGGAGCAGCAGTTCCTTGTCGCCCGTCTCGCCAGGAGAGCCCGCGCCCTCCTCCCGGGCAGCCTCCAACAGCCTCACGGCGGTCCCCGGGGCGCCCTTCCGCGGTTCGGCCCAGGCGATCCGCGGCAGCAGCGGCTCCCGCTCCTCATCCTTCTCTGCTTTCCGCGCTGACACCGGCTCAGAGGAGTGAGGTGCACGGGTCTGGCCTCGGCATCGCGGGGGTACAGGAGCTGCAGGATCCGGTCGCGGCCACCTCACAGGCGTGCTGGTCCGCTCCACGCCCGCCCAGCGGTTGCCCCGCCCCGCCCCGCCGCGGGCCGCGCCCCACCTCACACCGCCCGGCGCCTGCGTGGAAGGGCCCAGGCGGGGGTTGGGCGGGGCGCTGGCGAGGTGCGGACGGTCACCTGCCTCAGAGCACGCCGGACGCTCCGGGTGTGCGGGTTGGGGGGCGATGTTGCTCCTCCTGGAGCTCAGGGGTCAGCGTTTAACTTAGCCTCCGGAGTGCCCCTCCTCAACCGATCTTGGCCTCTCTCTCCACCGCGGAATTCTCTCACGGAGTTTACAACAGTCAGTACCTATATTATTTCTTTGTATGACTAACGTTTATTTCCCCCACTGTAAGTTCATAAGAGCAGGGATCTCGTCTTTTGTTCAAACATTCCTGGGGTTGGTTGGTTTCTTCTTTTTTTCTGACTAATCTAGCTAGAAGTTTATCAAATTTTTTAATCTTTTCAAAAAGCTATCTCTTGATTACATTGTTTTCTGTTTTCTAGTTCATTGACTTTTGCTCTTTATTATTTCATGCATCCCATTAATTGGGATTTGATTTCCTTTTCTTTTAATAGTTGCTTAGACTAGTTTACATTAATTCTGGACCTTTCTATTTTTAATTTTTTAATATAGACTTTTATCTTTTAAATAAAGCTATGCATTTCCCTCTGAGCACTGCTTTATCTGCATTCCACAATTTTTGATATGTTACGATTTCATTTTCATTCGTTTGAAATAGTTTATTTCCCTTATGATTTCTTCTTTGACTCACTTCTTTGAAGTGTGTTAATTTCCAAATATTTTGGGCCATTCCTTGCATTATTATTGGTTTCTAATTTAATTCTGTTGTGAGTAGAGAAGATACACTAAGATTTCACCCTTTTGAAAGCTATTGAGACTTATTTGATAACCCAGCATATTACTTACCTTGGTGTGTGCTTTAAATTCCATGTGTGCTTTGAAAAGAAGGTG